CCTACCGTGAGCGGCCGCCAGAGCTCCCGCCCCTCCCCGCAGCGGGCCGGCCCGCGCAAACCGAAAGGCCTAGAGTAGAGACCTTTCGGGACAGAGGGGCGGAGCGCAGGCCCGACGTGGGCGGGGCATCTGGGCCCTCAGAGCTGTTGGAAGGAGCACTCAGAGCTGGGGGGCCCCCCGCGCCCAGGGGAGCGGGAAAAGGGCTGGGCGATCCGCTGCTAGGGAGATGGGGTGGTGGTGGCGCCCCTCGGAGTCGCGCTGGCGGAGTAGAAAGAATGCCAGAGGAGGTGCGGGAGAGGGGGTCTCTGGATTTGGACTTGTCAGCAAACTTGGATCACTTCCGTCCCCTACCTGCCCAACCGCTTGTTTTGTTTTGTTTTAAATAAAATGAGGGGCGCCTGCCTACTTCGGTCGGCTAAGCGGCTGCCTTCAGCTCACGTCATGATCTCAGGGTCCTGGGATGCAGCCCCGTGGTGGGGCTCCTTGCTCAGCAGGGAGTCTGCTGCTCCCTCTCGCTCTGCCCCTCCCCCCCAAATAAATAGGTAAAATCTTTAAAAATAAATAAAATGAGGAGGTTGAACTTCACTAATCTCTCTCGTCCTCACCAGCACTCAAATTGTTTCAGAGAGGATCCTTCCATGCATAAATCCCATGGTCTCACCTCATCCTTTCTCCTGTCTCATTTCTCCTTCCATTTAACCCCATACTTATGGTCCATCACCACGGAGAAACTTGAAATCCCTCAGCTCATTTTCTGCTTTGCACAATTTATGGTTTTGCTCCAGCTGGATACCTGAGCTTGAAATATTCTCCCCATCTGCTTTCCACTTGTCAAGGCCAGCCTTGGTGCTGCTGCTTTCATAAAGCCTTTGTTTGCCACTATCCACAATCAGAATTAATTGTTTCTTCCTTTTTGCTCCCATAGCATTGTTTTAATCTTTATTATAGATTAAATGCCTTTTGCCTTAGATTTTAGTTAGTAATTACATAGGTCTTTTTAAATGGTAGGTGCCTTAAGAGGGTAGGGACCCTGTCTTATCCATAACTGTAGTTCCAGAACCTTGCACATGGGAGGCCTTCAATAAATATTTGTTAAGTAAATGCTAGGGTTTGACCATAGATAGTTCACATGCAGAATCTCATTCATTCAATCATTGCCCACTAAACGATGGCCCCTGCCTGGAACAGTTAGGCCTAATTAAGAGAAGGAAAGGCAACACACCCATCGGGAAATGAGACCGTTAGGTGGGCCCATTTCACACACACACACACACCTTCTTCCTAGGAGAAATTAGAACCCGGGAACTCACCCTCCAGCAAGCTGGGAGATAGGGTAAACTAACCAGGGCAGGAGTAGGAGTACTGGTAATCACTGGGACCCAAGTTCTCTTCTAGACTCAGGACACTGCTCCCCAAAGCCAGGCAACAAGTCGGCTGTCTCTCCTGGCTCAGAGGGCCCTCCTTCCTGATTCCCAGGGTCTTCAGGCAGTGGGCAGAGGCAACGGAGGGGCTGAGGGATGTAGGGACGCAAGTTTTGGATGGGGAAAGGAAGCTCATACTCTTTGGCAGCCTTCTCCCTGAACTTCTGAGGCAGCTGAGCCTCTTGGGCAGCGAAAGGAGATGGCAGCCCTTGACCTAGGCCTCGCTCAAGCCTTGTGCCTGCAAAAGAAAGGTTGGTCAGGTCATTGCCCCACCCGGGGAGTGAGTAGCACCTGGCTACTCCCCACTGTGCTGGGGCCTGGCCTCAACTTACCAGGAATGGTGTTCTCTAAGAGGAAGCCCAAGAGTCCTGCCAGGAAGATGGGCTCTGTGAGCAGCGAGCGCAGTAACACATCTAAGGGGCTCCAGCCTACAGAGAGTTGGGGCCAGGCAGGAGGGGAACTCTGATCCTGTGCAGGGTCAATGAATCTTATATTTCTATGCCTAAATCTAAGTCTTGGGCTAAGGACAGATCTTTCTGAACTGTTACCCCATCTTCCCCCACCTTTGTCCCCCTACTCTCTATTTCCCCCACCTAGGCCCTTCCCACAAGATCCCAGCCCATCATCCTGTCTTCTGAGTATCCACATGCCCTCCAGGTATGTTTTGGTAGTTGCAGGCCCTGTAAAGTTTGGTATTAAAAGCCCCAATCATGGGGTGATTGGGTGGCTCAGTTGGTTAAGCAGCTGACTCTTGGTTTCGGCTCAGGTCATGATCTCAGGGTCCGGGGATCAAGCCTGTGTCAGTGGGGAGTCTGCTTGAGGAATCCCTCTCTCTCTCCCTCTCTCTCTGCCCCTCCCCCCACTAGCACCCTAAAAATAAATTAATCTTTAAAATAAATAAATAAAAGCAAACCCCAACCTTACTTCCCACTTTTGTTTAAAGATTTTATTTATTGGAGAGAGAGAGCGTGCACAAGCACGCAGAGGGGCAGAGGGAGAGGAAGAAACAAACTCTGCTGAGCAGGGAGCCCGATGTGGGGCTCAATCCCAAAGGCATGACCTGAGCCAAAGGCAGACACTTGACCGACTGAGTCACGCAGGCGCCCCTTACTTCCCAACCTCTTACCTTCTATGCTCTAGCCTGGTTTTCTCAACCTCAGTACTACTGACATTTTCGACCAGATAATTCTTTGTTTGAGGGGGCCTGACCTGTGCACTGTGGGATATTTAGCAGCATTCCCTCTACCCACTAAATGCCACTAACAATCCCCTCTTCTGTTTGTAACAACCAAAAAGGTCTCTGGATGTTCCCTGTGGGGCAAAATCCTCCTCAGTTGAGTGTCATTGCTATTAGTTAGGCTGCACGGTCTTTGCTGCTCCCCGGAAATACCCTATGACTTCCTACATCTAGGTCATGGTTTCTGGTGGTTCCCCCACCAGAAATAAGCTTCCTCTCACTAAATATGTTCAAATCTTACCATCCTTCGAACTAGCTCAATGTTACTTTCTCCATAAAACTTAACTTGGATAATCTCAAACAGAAACTCTCTCACCACCAGCACTCCTTATCTGAACCTTTCCTACTATGTTTGTACGTATCTTATTTCTTTTACTGGACTGTAACATCTGGAGGCACCTCTGTATCCCAAGGGGCTAGACTGGTGCTCAGTAAATATTTGCTAAACAAATAGCTGAACTAGTTACAGCAAAGCCCAGAAAAGGGTGTGGGACCTGGAGTCCAGAGAGCCCCAAGCCTCCAGTCCTTGTCTTCCCAGGTCTGTCCAATTCCTCTTTCCATCCCTCCTCCTCCTCCCACCTGTGGTCAGCAGGACTGGGGCTTCCCGAAGCCATCTTGGCAACAGCAGAGCCATGAAGATGGAGAAGCCAACAATGAAGACATTCCGCCCAGAGTCAATGTCAGCCAGGTGGAAGCTGGAGAATCCAGTAGACAGAACCACGGCCTGGGTCACCCCAAGCATCCCACCTGTCTCGTAGGGAAGTAATCAAGGGGGTTGGGAAGGGCTGGCGTAGCAGGGAGGATTGCAGGGTGGGGCAGGTTGTGATGAAGACAGACAACCAAAAGGCTCATTATCCAGTTATGACAGAAGCGTGGTCAAGAGGTCAAGATGTTGGGCTGGGGAAAATGAGCGCAGCTGACACACACAGCTCTCCATATGTCAGGGGTCTGTTCAGAAACAGAGGGTGCCAGCCACAAGCAACCAGTTGGGCCATCCTGGGGGGCGGGGGGGGGGTAGTGCTGGTTCAATACCAGCCCTGCTGATACGTCCACTCACCAAGCACAGGCAGCGGGATGGCGGTGAGGAGCTGGGCCAGCCTCGGGGAGAGCCCAAGCCCCATGCAGAGCAGCCCCACCAGGTGCACCACTCTCCGAGAGCCAGCCTGGGTGGAGAAGAGATGCTAGAAAACACAGCCACCTCTTCGACGCTCCAAGGGTTTTGCCTCTCATCATTTGGATCCCAACTCAAATGTGACCCTTCCAAGAAGCACACTACCTGAAGGCTCCTCCTTTTCTCAACCACTGCTACCCTACTTTGTTTTCTTTTTCTTTTTTAAAGATTTTATTTTTAATAAAATAATT